ACGTCACCATGGGACATATCCAGTGCATGGAGAAGCAGTGGGTCCCGGTCAACAGCAGAGAGGTTTTCCAAATTGGGAAGCACAAGCTCACAGTAAAAGCGGGGCCAGTCATAGGTGCAAGCATCCACTGCCTTCCCAAGGCCTCTCTGCACCTGCTCTGGCAAGACCACAGCTAACAGGGGATGGGGCACAATGGTGGCAAAGACATGCTTTGCCACAGCACCCAGCTTGGGGTGTCTGTCCACAGCCTGGTGCAGGAAGCAGGCGTGCTGCAGCGAGCACCATGAGCGGCCGTCAGAAAAGAGCCTGGGGCCGTTCCTGGCTGCCACAGCCTGGTAAAAGCTAGTCACGGCCTCCGTAAAGGGGTAACGGGCAGTGTTAATATCCGGCCAGAAGAGATGATACTCATAATTCTTCAACTCACCTGCCTCATGCATGGCACGGAGGTGGTCCAGTGCCCGGAGCCAGGCAATCGGCACGGCATTGCGGAGCAGCACCCGGTTCCACTTACCCTGCTCCGCTGTGTCCCACAGCCCCTTGCGGTTTGAGAGGATGCTGAAGGCCCCATGTACATGGATTGGCAGCCCTGAGATCACTGGCATGGGAAGGTGGCAGAAAACTTGCCCCTTCTCAGCATCCAGACGTGGCATCCACTTGCCATCTTCAGTAAGGGCAAGGGGAAGGGCCACACCAGCCATGGGAGGTGGAGGATGGAGCCCTGCCTGTGTGTTCTTGTGAAACAGCTCCAGCAGCTCCCCATCACCCTGACACACCAAAACCAGGTAGTGCCACATGGTCTTGGATTCCTCATTGCAGGCTGAGAGTTGCTCGATGGCTGCCCAACTTGGGGGGTCCCCAGGGGCCCCCAGATCTCGGATCTCCTTTCGCCGCAGTATGGCCAGGGTCATGGTATCCTCTGCAGAGGTGGCTGTGTCTGGCAGCATCTCCAGGGACAGCTCCCTAACCTTCTTCAGGAAAAGCAGCAGGAGCTGGTTAGAACCAAGGAAGCCGGTGCCAAGGGACTGGATCCGCTCTATACCAAAGGCTTCTGAGCAAATCTGTGATACCACAGCTTCCTCTTCAGTGCGAAAAGGCAGGCGGAAAAGGCTCCCTGGAAAGGGCCCTGGCTCAGGCAGGCGGCACCCAAAGATACCATGGTAGGGCTGGAACTGCTCAGCAAAGAGACGGAGGATGCGTGGTCGGCTGGAGAAGTTCAGGCGGATTCCAGGGCAGCCAGCCCTGGGAATGTGCTTGCCCAGATGGGTGCCATTGGGATCAAAGATGAGCAGCGTCTCCCCAGTCAGTACTGCTGGCACATCTGTGACACGGTAGACAGAGCTGAAGCCCAGCCCAAAGCGCCCAATCCGGCCTGCCTGGGCCTCCTTTGTAGCAGCCCCAATCCGTGTGATGTTGCGGAGGTCATCCTCTGTGAACAGGGCATTGTTGTAGGCCCAGAGCGCTGGGCCATGGCAGACAAACATGCCTGGGTCTAGCAGCCCAGAGGGTGCCTTTCTGCAGCACCGGAGGTCCAGGAGGAAGCGGCACACAGTAGCTCCAGCATCCTCTGCATTCTGGACCATCTCTGCGAAGAGGTCGCTCTCCTCACTGTACTCCCGGAGGATGTTGCGGAGGCGTAAGGTGATGGGCTCTGAGGGGCCACAGGCTGTGAATGGCTCCGGGCCCAGTAGCCGCGTACTGAGCAGCTCCACGCCCAGGAATGTGGCTGTTCCAGATGGTACTGCCTGGTGCACCACATCCTGAACATCATCCTCTTCCTCCAGCTCCATGTCCAGGTACACAGTAGAGGCAGCTGGGCAGAGGGCAAAGCCTGAGCCCTCTGGGATCCTCACAGGAACTGGCACAGTGCCCTCACCCTGGTGCCCCTGACTCTTCAGCCACTCCAGGACAGCTACAACCACCTGCAGCTCTTCTGCAGTGCCTGCTCTGGAGCTGCGCTTGTCTATGTCCTGCCCCAGGCAGCGCAGGGCTAACACCACCCTCTCCTCACTCACCCCCATCCCCACCCCCCAAGCCCGGAAGAGGCAGGTGTAGGGCAGGAAATCAGGGGGCACCCGGGGCACCAGCATCCCCAGCTCCAGCTCCTTAGGATGGTCCAGCACAGCATCACATGGCAGGACAAACCCAGACCCAGTCCACACCACAGCATCATCTGGGGCAGCCCCAAAGGTCTTCAGGTTTTCCTGCATGTGCCTGTAGATGGGATGGAGAGCAGGACCCACCTTATCCACATCCCTGCGCCCTGCCAGCTTTCTCAGCTGCTCCCACACTCTCTCTGGTGGTGGGGTCTGGCTCAGGCCCAGCTTTTTCTCTGCCTCTGGCACAAAGGCGCCAGTCAGGGGCATGGCAAGCCCCACCAGGGACTGGTACTGAGTGGATCGCAGCTCTGTGAGTGGCAGGAAGGGCTGTGCAGACATTCCAGTGCACTTGGAGCAAGGTACCCATGGCAGGGCCTTGAGCTGCCTGAGCTCTGCAGCGCTGAAGCCAGCCAGTGCCTTGGGGTGGTTGCAGACCTCGATCAGTGCCTCAGCCCTGTCCAGAGCCACTGTACCACCCTGAGTCACTTTTGCTGCAGCTGCTAGGACGTCTGAAGGCAGCAGGCACCCCTCACCGTGCCGCAAGCCCAGGGCCCTCAAGGCACGGAGGACAGACTCACTGTGGAAGGCAGCAGGAGGAAAGTGCTCAGGTCCCAGCAATACCCGCAAAGTGCTGTCGCAGGGGTCATAGAGGTCTCGTGGGCACGCGGGGCCGTTGGGGGTCTCCAGGAAGGCCAGCTCGCTGCAGGCCTGCTGCAGCAGGGGGCTCTGTGCGAAGACGATATCTCCATGCTGCAGCACCCAGAGCAGCAGTGCCTGCGTCTCAGCAGCCCTCCCTGCATAGGTGCCTTGGGCCACGGCTTTGATGGCCTTTAGCATCACACAGGCTGCACTGATGAGGGGTCTTTCCAGCCTCCACAGGAGTTGCCGGTCAGCTTCATCCCGGCACTGCAACATGGCTTCTGGCAGCACCACACCTCTGGGCAGCTCCAGCTCTGGCTCAAGCGCTGAGGTGTCACCAGCTGGTACCAGCAAAATAGGCTGCGGCGTGGCCAAGCAGGGCAGTGGCATAAAGAGGGGCAGAGCAGCCAGCGTGGTCCTGTCCTGCTCTGTCAGGGATGGGACTTCTGCTAGGTAGAGCCGGAGGGTGACCACATCTGCATCAGGCAGCAAGGCCATGTGGGAGGCCACCGCTGCAGCCCCCTGCCTGCCCAGCGCCCTCAGGGCATTGAGGGGGGATGGAGGCAGGATGTAGTGGGACAGGGAGTGGTGCCACATGCCCGGAGGCACCACTGGGCAACCCAGGACCTCCAACACAGAGGCCACAGCAGGTGGCAGGCACTGGTCCTCCCATGTCTGGAAGATAAGACTGGATTGGGGTATCAGCGGAGCTAGACGGATAGTGGGAGCATCCAGTGGGGACAGCGATATGAGAGGGAGCCCCTCCAGAGGGCCCAGGTCTTCCATATGGTGGGCCAGGAATTGCCACAGGGCTGGAAACCAGGAGACTGGGGGCTGGGGGGGTCCTTGGGCTGGGCACCAGGTCACTGGGGTTGAAGACTGAGACATCCAGGTTGGGGGCAGAGCCAAGCGCAGGGTCTGTGCAGTCACCGCTGGGTCCAGCAGAACCAGGTTGAGGAAGAGACCTGTATGCAAGAAGCAGAGGCTGGACTAGAAGCACATGGGACCTGGAAAGAGCCTGAGATCTTCGGGGGATGGTGGCCCCCTCATACTGGCAATGGGAGGACCTGGGCTCTGGAGGGACAGTGGATACCCTGAATAGGAGCCCCAGACTAGTGGAGATAGAGGAGATCTGAGAGGGAAAATGGTGTCAGGGGGCCCCAAGGTCCTCAGATGAGGAACACAGGGAGACCCAGGACCTGAGGGAGCACAGAGGGGACAGGGGAATGTGAGAAGAACCACAAGGACAGTGGAGTCCCCAGAGAGATGGGGAGGTAGATATGGGGAGATACTGGGGCTGCAGAGAAGTCCCAGGGTGTACGAGGGTGCCTGGGGTTTTAGAGGGTGACCAGGGGACCCAAAGATGGACCAGGGGCTCCCCCCTTCTCTTACCCTTCTTGGCAATGCCTCGCAGGAGGCTGTCCAAGTCCGGCTCCAGGTCTGAGGGCAGGAAGGACCCGGCCAGGCCAGGCAGGAGTTCCCTGTAGGGACAAACAGATATGCTGGGGTAATGAGGGACAGACAGCTTCCTGGACACTGCCTCAGTTGAGAGAGGAGGTGAGTGAGGAGAGGTGAGAGGAGAGCAGTGAGGAGCTCAAATGTCCAGGTTCAGCTGTGGCCCACTTTTCCAACTCAAGAGTGGGAGCTGCACCCCTGGGCAACCAGCTCACCTGCCCTCTCCACAGGGAACGGAGCTACCAGGGGCCGTGGGCTCACCTGGGGCAGTCAGACGTGTCCACGTAGATAGTGTCTGATGCAGTTCCAAAGGCCACGAATGTCCCATCAGCACGAGGCAGGAGGGGAAGACCCTGCAGCTCAGCATGGGACCCATCCCCGGCCACATAGCGCAGCAGGGAGAGACGGTCAGCAGCTGGGAGGTCTATGTCCCCGTGGCGCCGCAGCACCTCCCGCACGTATCCTGCTGTGGCCTCTCTCACACCCTTTGGCATCCCCAAAGCCAGCGCC